TTCTGTGAATGTACCACGTCCACGGTCCGACCTTGAAAATAATTATGCATAAAATAGACTCAGTACAAGGTGCGTTTTTATAAGTCTTCCTACCATTATGACCAAACTGCGAAAACAAGGTCAAACAACTTCGATAAATCCATAGTCGGACCGTGTACGTGGTACATTCCCAAAACGTTTCGCAGACATTTAGGTCGGCATCGTCAGTCATTCTTGCCATTCAAACGATGTCTCTTCAAAGAGTGAAAGTGTTGGGTGAAGAGATTCGAAGGTCGGTTTCACCAGAAGACGACGGCGGATTCGCTGAGAATGCATACCACTTTTCAGGGATTTGCCGGTGAGTTTTCTTGGCTCGTTAGCTTCAATTTTGTTGTGACAATGTTACCTCGCTCTGATGATGTCCGTCATATGACGGACGGAAGCTTAGCAACTGTTCACTGGAATCGAAGGAGATTGCCTCGGAAACAGCGTCAGCATGAATGTTCCAGTAAAATTAATCGACAGCTGGTCAAGTAGAATCGGTGAAAGCGACCTTTTAATCTCTTCACGAAAACACTTTCACTCGAAATGTAAGTAAGCTCAACAATTATGAAACAAGATATTCCTTAAAAACCAACTTTTATTCGCATATCTCTTCAAAGAGACAAGTGAGCAATTGTCTGCCAAACAATCGTGGTATCTCTCCTTCCTCCATGGGCTAAGCAACAATCCTATATCCTCGTATAACATCTTCACTATCACAATTGTTTACTTGCTTCTTTCATTGTGGTACCAATATGACCAAGTTGTGAAAACAAGGTCAAACTATTTATATACAACGAAGGGAAAGCGCGACCTTACAAAATGCCACACTATCTTAATCTTCATACCTTCGTCAAATAGTTCTTACTCATTTTTTTACCACCATTCCTCACAGTCAAAGTATTGCCTAATCTATTAATTTAAATGGTCTCTTTTATTTTGTGCTTTTTGGCCGATATACCATAATCAGTAGAGTTCTGTGTCCGGTACTATTCTATCTCATTTCCAGTTTCTGTTCTGTACTCAGCCACTTCTCACCACTCGTAGAAAGAGTTAGAGTCTCTTCGAAAATTGCCATTATTCACCATTTCAAATCTAGTCACCCTATCTTCTTAGAAGGAAAATTAGAACATGAGAATCGGCATGCCTACCTCTGACCAAATAGGCGCTGTCTAAAAATGCATTCCTCATTAAATAGATATAAAAATCAAGCTCTAATAAGCATTAATGCTAAAATTCTTACCTTAGTTTGGTGACAATATTTATAAAGAAAATCAAGAATGACATCCGCACATGCTGGTTTCCTATAAGCATCACTGATTACTTATGCTTCGGTTGTAAGTAGGCTTGGTGATTTTCGTCGACTGCTTCATGTTGTGTCGGCAAGCTGGTGAAGATGGTTGTCCTTTCCTTTAGGATTGTACGAATGTTCCATTTTCTCAGAATTGCCCCCAACTTCGAGCCAATTCGCAGAAGGGCATACATATGCACAATTTTCCTTATACTCCTCTTGCTCTTCTTTCATAGTCTCCAACCTTCCATCAGTTCATCCGCATCCTTATGTTGCAATGTATTGTTTCTTCTGGTTATCCTTTTCCAAAACACCTCTGAGTTAGCCTAACCAGTTCCTTTTCCCAAAACTCAGAATCAGTGCATCCTAGGCTTATTATGACCATATTTCGGAGTATTTCAATCTTCATCGCATGAGTATAGTTCGACTGGAAGTTTAGAGTTCTGCCCTAGAAGATAGAACATCCATCCACGAGGTGGTGCGGCGAGGAACTATTCGAAAAGATCTACAATTACAGCTTAGAGTCAATCAGCCTACAGCTTTCGGTGAGACCAATTTACTAGTCCATTCCACTCACCTTTTCAAACAACATGAAAGGAACTCCAACATCAATTGATAGATTGGCCTTACCGGATACCGAAGAGGGTTGCCTTGGACTATTGTCTGTTGAATTGTACGAAGAAGATCCCGGCTCATCGTCGTACCATGCCGATGACTCCGAGTTGAGATTTCGTCCGTCATGTGACGGACATCGTCAGAGCCAGAAACTCATCACTTTACACCAAGAACAAGAAACTATTGGCCAGGCAAGTTAATCACATTAGATATTTGAAAGTATGTTCTTCACATAGTATCACTCGAAATGGAAGTAAACAAAACAAGTTTTATAATGTTGGTTCGACCTTGTTTTCGCAACATGGTCGGAGTATAAGAAGACCTTGTGGAACGTATCCTCTCCCATAGTATTCATAATTTCCAGTTTTGCATCATTGATTTGGTACATTCTCAAACGTCTCGTGGGCATCATAGTCGCCATCGTAAACACAAAGTTACGACTTATCAAAGTGATAAGTGAAGGCAATCACCTTGACCAATTTTCTGTTAAAATGTTATGTCATCACTCATAGATCCTATTTTTTGTTCAACCTTCAAGTTTGGCATCTCTTTTTTTCAACCCTACTTCACATGGCCCATCCACTCACACATACAATTCTGTGCTCTCATTTCCTCCAATGTCGCCAAAGAGTGTCTCGCTGTAAGTAATCATCTTAACCACAGGTACCAGATGCCGTTGTCAGGGCTCCTAGCCTTCATTATACCACCTTTTTTTCCCTACCAGCTTGTCAATTGGCCGCTGTTAAACATCAAAATCACTGTTTGGCTCTCAATTCCCATCCTCGATTATGCCATATTCAGGGATCTAGAGCAGATGATGCCTATGTCCATGCACATTGCTTGCCAGTGCCTGGTAATCTTCCTTTCCCTAGGCTTTAAACACATAACTCGATTATCCTATCCCTCATCCCACCTACACTGTATCATTCTTTTGGGCCCTGTCTCCGACTTAAGTTGTAGCCTCTGGTGTGAAAATGAATCGAGAAAACACACTTCTATCGTCTCTCAAATTGACAGTCCAATCTAAGCCTAGGCTATTAGGATTATTCTCCAGTGTGTGTGTTTATGTGTGTGTTTGTGTTGGCTAGTATCCCATGTAGTCAAGCCTGTCACCAGTCGCCTACAGTTCAGACAAAGATACGAAAAATTCGCACAACCACCTGCACACACACACACTGGTGAACTAAAT